CAACAAGGAGAGCTGAGGGGACCCAGCGCAGAGGAGTGTTCTGCCCCACCGACATTAGCCCTGGCTGAGATGAACCCCATTTCCTGAGTATGTTTAATAAAAACTGTGGTTTCTTGTGGACTAGAGAAATGGCTGTCCCCAGGTGGTTTTTGAGGACAATAAAAAGATCCATAAATAATTATTTAATGAAACTGAATAAAGTTTAGAACTCTTGGACAACTATTCCCCACACCAGGCAAGACAGAGGGTGAAATGTTCTCTTTACCATAGGCTTCTACAAGAACGAATCCTGACCCTTCCTGGTCAGCACTGTGTTCATCTTTTTGCCTGAACTACATGAAATGTGGCTTTGTTGTGGCATCTCTCCTGCACAAATTGGTTCTTTGATCCAAAACCATAACTCTTCATTGCTTTTTAGCTCCAAAGGTCATGGGTGTGATCCTCCCTGTTAACCGAAGTGAGCAGTTCACATTTATACTATTTTTATTCTAGGCTGATGCAGGCACTGCCCCAACCTTCAAAGAAATCCTTATTTCATTTCATACTTGACTGAAACCTGCATAACTTATTGAAAGCCCAGGTGAACTTTGATTATTTGGTCACAACAGTATCTTGCCTTTTATGTCAATACCCAGTAGTATCTGTAAGACTATGTATATAAACCCTCTTAATCAGTACACTCCAAAACTAACGAATCAAAGAAAGAAAGAAAAACCCCAGAAACCTAATTAGGCTCCATTTTAACTTTGGCAACATAGCAGGTTTGGAGACTTTTACTATGTAACAAATTAATGAGTGTTTCACTTTCACTCAACAATGCCTGTCAAAAATGTGTGCTTCTGTCATCATCATCCCTGCATATCCTGGTAGTACACACCTTCTCCCCACAAGCCAGGCCTGCCCTACAGTGACTGTCAGCTAAGAAAATCTCCTGCGCTTTTTAACAGGTCCAGCTCAATCTGGAAAACCGCACAAGATGAAGGTGGGAAAAGAAGTTAAAATAGCACTGTGGCACTGAGAAGTATGAAGAGGGAAGCTGAAAAACATCCTGGAGGAGAAGCCAGGTGAGACATTAGGGAATCCACCACCTCCCCTTTAATAAGTCAGGAATGCAAAGGAGCACTGTCACAGTGCAGCAATTTTGGAGCGTGAGCCAATGCACCAGGAATGCAAAGCTCCCTGATGGCTCCAAATATAGCAATTAGGCTGTCAGTCAAAAAAGAAGATAGAAGAAACAAGGTAAATTGGTTAGGTGTGACCTGAGATACTGGGTTGAAACCTCAAGTGGTGTAAAATCAGCCTTGCTTCATTAGAGGTAACAAAAACTACCAATAAAGTAGGCAAAAAGCTGTAAAGCGGGAAGGAGCTACAATGGGGAATTGTTAAGCATTAAGACTAGCACATAGCATGTGTTAGGCTACAACACCAAAGACAAGGAAGAGAGTCTTCTCTTGAAGAAATAGATCCATCTTGGAGAAGTACCTCATGGAACTGGGATGGCCATTTCCACCAGTCTCTCCAAGACACTGCTATTTCCTCCAGCCTCACCAAGGCATGGATATTTCCTCCAGCCTTGCCAAGATATGGCCATGTCCTCCAAACTCTCAAAGAATGACCATTTCCTCCAGTTTCTCAAAGGCATGGCCATATCATGGAGTCAGAGAATGGTTTGGGTTGGAAGGGAGCTTAAAGCCCATCTACTTCCAACCCCCCTGCCATGGACAGGGACACCTTCCCCTAGACCAGGTTTCTCCAAGCCTCATCCAGCCTGGCCTTGAACACTTCCAGGGGTGGGGCATCCACAGCTCCTCTGGGCAACCTGTGCCAGTGCCTCCCCACCCTCTCCAGGAAGAATTCCTTCCTGATGTCTAATCTGAATCCCCACTCTTTCAGTTTAAACCCATT